CAGGTGTATATACAGATAGAACTAAAATCTCATTGTACATTATACAGGGTGTTTCAGTTAAAGGAGGCATCCAAATATGTCTGTTATTTTTGTAGATACTCAAAAACTTTATTAACAAAAGTTATTCAGGTCAGGGGTATCTACAATATGGCGATAATTATTGTTTTGTAGCTGAAGAATTTTCGGAAATTTCAAGGTCGACATTTTCTATAAAAATGTATCGAACAAATTATTAGTTTAGCAGATATTTTAGCTTTAATTTTATCGATTTCGTTGTGCCCGAAAGTGCATATTATGCAGTAAAGTTTTCTCAATATTTGTAAACGTACTTTCATCGGACAGTAACACCAAACGTCCGCGAAACTAATAATTTCTCGATATAAATACGTAGGACAAAAATTTTTAATGGAAAATGTCGAGCTGCTCGCACTAACGTATAAAAAATATATTCAATTTCATAATTGAAAAAATGAATATAACCTTGAAATCTCCGGAAATTCTCCAGCTGTAAAAAAATGATTGCCGCCATATCGTAGAGCTCCTGACTCGAACAACCTTTGTTAATAAAATTTTTTAATATCTCCGGAAATAACAGAGCTATTTAGGTGACCTCCTTTATCTGAGACGTTCTGTATCATTTATTTCCCAATTTGATCACGGCGATATTTTATAATATTTTCTTTGAGATCATTATGGTAAAGGAAGAAGTTGGTGTGATACCAAATGCTTTAAATTCGTTGAGCCACGGTTGCCGCAACGGAAAGCTTTTCTTCTTTCGTTTTTCTGGAACAGTATGGTTTATGAGGGTAAATCCAACACGATTTGTCTGCGCGTACCAATCTATACTTTAACATATGAAAATTCTATTCGAATCTGACAAAATTCTATCCTCCGATACTGCGCTGACTTTCTAATATGCGTTCGACAGGTAGAGATACTCGTTTAGTGCTAATCTCTTATTTTAATGGCCAGTAGTTATAAAATGATCGTAAAACGCTCATTCTTAAACATGACTTCGTACTTTCATTAACTCTCTCGTGTCGAGACTCGTGCATCGTTCGTGTCAAGCTGCGTGTGAACCCCGCGATATTATTGGCAGAAGTATAACCAGCAGAATTTGCAACTTATCTTATCTTTTTCGCTTATCTTTTTTTATTATTCGAGCGATTTTAATTTCGATTGATATTATTTCACGCGATTTAAGATATAACTATATTCATTGTTTTCATAGTTTAGCAGATATTAATCCGACAATTACCCGAACAATGCACAAGGATCGAACAACGCGGGATCATTTGTCTTCAGCGTCTCACAGGATATTAGTCGTTGACCTTAAAAAGTGAATGTAGATCGACAGCAATGATTCATGATTATTCAAAGAGCAATAGTGCGTACGCCTGGATAAGAAGCACGTTCGCAGCTTCGCTAGTCTGCTGCAGAGACTTGACCCAGTCGATTAGGTGCTCAGCCAATGCTTGTCACGCACCGATTGCCCCGTGATCAATCACTGAAAATCACTGCTCCAGTATTTTCTCGCACTAAGAAAAGAAAAATCCAGAGGAAATTCATTTCCTGGCTGCCTCGCTTCTGGGTCTTGCATGTGCTCCGTTCGATTGGATTAAGAGTCCTTCCTATCGAATCGCTCGAAAATCAGGTCGTTTCCAGAAATTTGTTACAGGAAATTAAATGACACAGTGCTAGACATTTTTGTTCAATATATTTAAATATCGTTCGATATTATAAGCCGATTTTAGTCATTCTCGTACTTAATGGTGCTTATCATAGACTACATAACTTTACAATGAATTGTTGATAGCGAAAAAATACAACAGATTCTTGAAACGTATAAGATTGTTCATCTGCAATTATAATATTGCGACGAACCATTTATTTTGATAAACATTTGTATGCGTGAAATTATTCTTGTTTAGACGTTCTTATCAACGTGCTGACAGTCTCGTCTTGTTTTTTAGCTTCGAATAATTTTAAGAAGAAGTTTCGAGTCATTTAGACAGCATTGGATACTGTATATGACGAAAATTAGCCTAAAGGGTGGTATATAAATTAGCTCTCAAGATATTTTGAGCACTTTCGATAGACAGATAAAAAAGTAGAAGTTCATCAATTTTTAGTCGACTGTTATAATTGTAATGCTCAAAATTTTAAGGACAATTTTACTTCGACGAAAACTCAAGGTTATTTCGACTTTCTTAAGCGACGCTAGATGTATTTTCGACCAGAGAACGTTTGTGGTCAAGGTCAAGATGAATTCAATGACCTAGAAAAACTGTAGCCTTTGGATGGCCTCGAATCGAGAAATCGTCAAACTTGAGAATTTCGCCTTAAAAAGAAATCCAACAAAGTGGCTTTTGGATTGGTTTTTCCATTTAGCTTAAAAATAACTTCAAAAAGTTGTTTCTAAAAGATGATCCTCTTCAATGTCAATAAACTAGAACTAGATCAAATATTGTGGCGATAGATTTGCGACGAATTTTCAGCTCAAAGTCATTTCAAGATTATATTATGCTGGGTCAATGAAATCGTCTCGACACCATCTACAATGCTACACAATAATTCAAAAAAGGTAGTCGCATTTAAGGGAGGAGAAGCGACGTCAATTTTTCATCGAATTAAAACTTTTCTCGAAATTCTTAACGTCACAATTTATAGTCAACTAAAATTCAATGAAAAGTGCTTGAAAAATCGTGTGCACTAATATCGAAGCATGGACCACCAATACAAGGTGTCCCAGCCAAACGAAACCACCTAAACATCTTCGATGTTTGTAATGTTATGAAAAATGTTTGTGGCACAATATAAATGGTTTTTAAAAGGCAATATTGTGATCAGTAAAATTGATTGTTTTTCTCAAGATCAACATCACTTTTAAGGCAGAAATGTTCTTTGTCTGCATATTGATTCCTGTAATCAGTTTACAAAAAACGATCTGTTTTCGTGTGATACGAACGAATTCTTAATTCCGAGACAGCTATATGGGGTGTCACAAAATTATATATACAGGATGATCCATTTAAATCGATCCAGTCAAATATCTTGCAAACCGTTGATAATATTGAAAATGGTTTCAAATAGAAATTGAACGGTTTCAGAGGGTGCATAATCTGACGTTAGAAAGATTTTTGTAGGTGATCGTATAAGTACGATATGAAAGTTTTGTTTAAATGGAATTGCACAGTTCTTGTTGCATCAAACTTAAAATATCCTCTAAACCAATGATCTTTCGCAATAAATGATTTACTGCTTTTATAAATTGATTTTTATGTCATTTTTTGGCATCGACCTAGAAAAACCTTATCAACATCAGTTTATGTGAACCCTGAAACAATTCAACTTTTATTTGAAACATTTTTCGTTATCATCAGCGGTTTGCAAGATATTTGACTGGATCAATTTAAATGAGTCACCCTGTGTATATCGGGACCATCACGCGTGATTCTATCCCCTCGGTTTTCTCGACGTTGATATAAGTAACTTGTCACAAAATTAACCTGGATCTTGAAAAATCAAGGTTAAAAATCGAAAAATGTTCCTTCTATTACATTGAATTCCACTCGTCACAAGGATCAACTTTGCAACAATTTCTATTTCCATAAATATCGGCCAATAAGTGACGCGATTTATGCAAATCAAAATAATTTCGATGTTTGGCTCTGAATTTTTAATATTAAAAAGAATTATGCAGAATGTTATTTACGTCAATATCCATCGAACCGAGAGTGTAGAATTACGTTATGATGATACCGATCAGTGACGGGATGCTACTCCCTGAAGACAGTAGAAAGAGAACTTCACATTCAGGATGTTCAAAAATTGTTACTTCCAGGAAATGGGTTCTTGGCGTCATTTGAAGTAACTTTTTCCTTAGCGAAAATGCAATCCGCGGCTTTGTTTACGAGTTATTAACGAAAAACACTGACTAATGAGAAGCGAGATCGGTTGGCACGAGACGGTCGAGCTCGCCTCTCATTGGTCAGTGTTTTTCGTTGATAACTCTTTAACGGTGTCTCGGAGAAAATTTTTGTGAAGGAAAAAGTTACTTCAAATGACTCCATGAATCCCTAATTTCTCGGTAGTAGCATAATTTTGGGATAACCTGTATAGAATGGGGATACCTATTCATAGTAAACACTGTCTCTCTCTACTGTTTGGAGGGAGTAGCATCCCATCACTGATCAGGATCATCATAACATTATCCTACACCCCCGATTTGGTGGATATTGACATAAGTAACTTTACGCATAATTGTCCGTGATCACGAAAATTCAATATCAAATATCGAAATTTGTTTTTTTTTGCATAAATCACATTACTTATCGACAGATATTTATTGGAAATGAACGGATGAAAAGCATGTTTCGATTTTTGATCTACTATGGCGATTAGCTACCCATAGGCCACACTATACGCAAAGCCACCCCCTCTACCACCAGTAGCATTCTATCACTAGTCTCAATATGTAGTCTTGTGACACCTTGTACTCAACCCAGCGAGGACTAGCATCCAGCAGAGTCTCATTAGAAAGTCAGCGCAACACTGGGGAGCTCTCCTATCGAGACACCAGTTTGACAGTCTCCTCGGTGGTCCCGCTCTCTTCCTCATCCCCCTAACGACCAGCCTACCACGCCGGACCAGACCGAGGCACTATTCCCATTACTCGTATTCTCGCCACCCTGTCACCAATACTACCGCTCATCGAACCATCGCTGCATGCGTCTGTCACTATCTATCTATCTATCTATCTATCTATCTATCTATCTATCTATCTATTTCTGTCTATCTATCTATCTCTGTCTATCAATCTTTCTACTTCTCTGTCTATCTATCTGTCTCTATTTCTCTCCACCTCCGTCTCCATTGGAGTACACCGTTCGACACATCGAGCGCGGAACTTCGAGCGAGTCATCGTGAATCCCTTGCGTCATGGTTGACGGTTCCAGGCGATTCTAAAAGAGAGAACCGGACGGGGAAACTGTTTACAGGTCACAATATGTCAGGGGTGGATGGTAACAGCACCGAGGGGGAGTCCGTGTGCGGCCGTGGCCCAGCCCAGACCGGGCCCGGCTGTTATCGTAACTATGAGCATTACAGTGTCTCGCGGCATCGTCGCAGCGCCTCATCCTGCTTCCCGAATATGCCTAACGAGCTGCCGCCGAACACCCCGGACAGCCCTAACCGCCGACTTCTGGACTTCGCGCAGAGCGTGCCCGGCACCCAGAACGACGACTACTTCCAAGACGAGGTGCCGGCTCAGCACGTCAACCAAGGCAATACCACACCTAGCGTAAGTCCCGTCGTGAGATACCTCCTCTCTACTATTGTATACGACTGGTTGCTGTATCGTATTCTTGTGTTTCGATCACCTGCCCTCCAACCACCCTTCGGTACAACACCCTCTTTCCATCACCCTGTTGCTACCCGTGATCCCTACTGTTATATCGGCACCCTTTCGAGCTGCGACGTTTGTGTACGTTTTGCAAGGCGACCACCGACCTTGTCGGCGAATGAACAATGGTACCATTCGATTTGTCATGATCGAAATCTCCTTGAGCGGGCGGGACGCGCGGCGGGATAGGCTGCTCTACTCGACCAAAGCGGGTGCTTCTTCAATCCGTTTTTGGCTCCATGGTGGCGTGTGATACGTTCGCGGCGTATCGTTCTCGGAATGTCGGGTAAAAAGGGAAATTATAGGTTTCGCGTTCAAAATTAATCCTTTCGTAGATCGTATTCACCTTTTGGAATCGAGATTAATCCTTTCACAGGTTTTATTCATTCTTTTGTAAATCGGAATCACCTTTTTGTAAGTAAAATTGATCCATTTGCAGGACAAAATTTGATGTATTTCATTCAGTTGTTTGATCTAATATAAATTTTGTTACAATTAATTACGAACAAGTGAATTTAATGTTGCAAGAAGATGAATGAGACCCGCGAAAGAGTACGTTTTACTTGCGAAGAAGCGAATATGATCTACAAAAGAATTAATTTTCATTGTAAAACCTGTGTCTACTTTTCAAAATTTTGATTATTTCAGTACTATTTTTGGCCGAATTACGAAATTGGGTGGAAAATGTAATGCTATTAAAGTAAACAATTATCAATAAAAATTAAAAAATGTTCCTGTATCCTATGACGAACATGATTACCAGACTGCGGTAAAATAAAAGTTGTCTGCGTCGACTGCAAGATGCAGCAGTTTAAGAAAAATTTATTTGCTTTTTTAAATAATTTAAATGAATTGAACGTAATACAATAGTATATCTTTAAATTTGTAAAATGTCTTCACTGTTTTGAGATGCTGAATGTTTTTGGTTCTGCTGCGGATGCAGCTATGAAGTTCAATCTAAATATTTGGTAAAATGTGAGCATCAAGATCAGACGAAGTCAGATATGAAAGAAATAAATTGACTATTTCCGAATGTTATATGTATGCTTCTTAGTAGCAAGTCGGATTGATGAAGCCATATATCATGTTCCATTAGCAAGAATACATTTGGGCACTTTGCTGATTACACTGGTGATACTTTTAGCTAATGTTGTTCCGGATATAGATTGACACACTTCTATCACCTCCGTTTACAAATCATCCAAATCTTTCGATGACATAGTATAAACAATATTTCCGGTACGACCCCACAAAAAATTGGCGACATTGGCGACAAATCTTGTGGTCGTACGGGCCATTTTGGAAAATGTCATTGAACAAATTTTATATTGATCTACGGTCACGTGGAGAAGTATAGTTTTGTTGAGAGGAAGTTTCAAGCAAGTTTGTAACATGAAATATATTAATAAATTTCACACGAGATTTGAACATTAATTAAAAAGAAAGAAATTATGTGGAGGAGCGAACATGTCAGTAAGTGTAATATTAGGAAATATTGAATTAATTTCTTTCAAATCTTACATTGTTCGCATTTGATGGTAACACACATCGTAACAGCAGTCGCTTTTACAACATGTGAAACAAATACAGTTTTTCATTTGAGAAATTGAAGGTCACAATGATTATAATGTTTGTTATCGAAAGCATTCAAAATTTTTCGCTCGAATCTTTACCTATCGTTGACCATTTGCGAAAAGTGAACTTAATTGTTTATTGTGTAGTATTTGAGCAAAATAACATTTAATTACATTTTTAGTATAAGACAAGAAAGAAATAATTTAAAGAATTTTAAGAAACAACTACTACTGCGATCAATTTAAACTTTCAATTTTTTCGTTTCATAAGCTAAATCAGCATCTGATACTTTCAGGTGTAAATCTATTTAAATTTCTTATTATAGTTACAATCTGTACTTAATAATGTTTATTTGAAATATGAAATAATACTGATGTAATCAATAAAAACGAAGGAGTCGGTAATAAGAGGTATAATGAGGTACAATGCCTACACGAAGATAATTAAAAACAGGAAAAATGAACATTTAAATTAAGTATTTTAAGACTAGTCAGTAAACGTATTAATAAACAACGCGTATTTTAATTTTGTGAAATTCTCAATGGCTGTGACCCCTCTCTGTCAATGTGCCAAAGTACTGTTTGCATTAAAAGCACTTCTAGTTTGCATGAAATTGAACTATCACTGTAGACAGTCTGGTAATTGTAAACAAATATTATCATAAAATATAAATATGATATAATTCAAGCGAAAAATGCATCCTGAAAAATGTAATGATTTTAGTACTTCAACTATCAGATGAACACGAACGATTCTAGAATGTTATATTTTCATTAATTTTTACAAGAAATTCAAGAAAGTTATCTTGATATTTTTCTACTTCTAATATCGCATTCGTGTTTTCTAATATCAAACTGACCACGAAATTATTTGGTAGAATGTCTTCTAAATCATTTAGAATAACAACGAATAGAGTATGGTTTGAAGATGCAGTTGTGCACAAGATGGTTTTGCCTAAAAACTATCAAAATGCGTAGAACAGTATATTTCGTCCAAAATTCACTTTTCACGAAAGTCGTGTTCGAAAATTGATCAGGAACGTGTGGCAAGGATTGATTATGAATGCCAACGTCGACGAATTTTCAAATCACGATATCCTCGAAAACCAGTTTTGAACGAAACAATTTTGTTCCACGCTTCCCATTCGTTTTTTTGACGAGAAATCGTTCGATGCCCTTTTGCATCATACTCTTGGCCTCACTCTATAATTTCGTTAACCGAGTTTTGCGACTGAACGAATCACCCGCTTCTCGGTTTTGTACCTGACCCGCCGCATGGAGATTTCGTATAGAAACCGTTGCACGATTTTAGGGCCGACGTGTCTTCGAAAAGACGTGACACGGCTCTTTTTTTGGTATTCGCACGTGGCTATTAGAAGCAAGACCACCAGAACACTGTTGCGGTCGCATTGGATGCAAAACCAGTAGTAACGCCTGACTGTGGTCAGACCCTGACGGAAACGTGTCCGCATTCGGACATGATCGTTTCGATCACTGGACTGCGGATGTTCGAATAAATGCTAACCAAATTTTCTGTTATTTTTCTATATCGTTTGATCGAAGAAATCAAGGTTCGGTTATCCAGTTTACAAAACGGTCCGCGCACAATTACGTTGATTCGCAGTCTAGTGATTGCTGTATTTCGATGATTTGGTAAGAAGCACACAGTTTTTGGACTGGCCGTAGCAACACAGATACTTCATTTCCGTTGTATTATTTATTGTACATATTTCGTTAGGCCGTATGTCTAACTGTTGTTTAATTTGGACACTTGAAGTATCGTCAAACTGTTAGTTCACAATTCGAAGAAAAGTGAAATAAATACAGTTCCGTTTTTCATGAACATTTTCCTAAGCAGATCACATCTTACGAAGGAAATATTATAGAACTTTATTTCACATTTTCTACTTATTCTTCTATATACGTTCCAGTCGCATTACCATGTTTGTTTTCAAAGTATTCTGCAGCGCCTGTGGTCAAAGTTTTCACGAGATACTTTGCAACTGAATCTGTCTGTAGCGATTGTTTTGAGAATTGTCCAGTGACTCAACCATCTGTTCAGATATTTTCTAGTTATCTTGAAAACATTCTGTTTGTTCTTATCTTGCCTGCTATTGAACTATTATTATGTGCAAAGTTGAACGAACAAAGTCTATAGAAATCGTTACATCTCTTCCGCCGATAAACGGAGATCGAACGAAAATCCGCGCAATCCGCTGCAACGAAGCACAAAAACGTTGCACCTCGTGAACAGATTTGCGAGTCGTTGTACTTTGCTCGATTAATATTTATTTAATTTATTCGTGATCTCTGAGCGTTCAGATTTAATTGCCACGCGTGTTTTTTGTTTGAAATCGGCAATGGTGCTTCGTATTCGATGGATTGGTCCACTCGATGGAATCGTGCATCCAATGCTATCGTGTCTGTTTGGTGTCGATGTAAACGTGTTGATGTCGAATAGCCTCGATTCTGTTTTACACCAGCGTGTTGTGGGAATCAATTTTTGTGACGATACTCGGAATCATGCAGAATGACACGATGTACCCGAGCACGCCTAGTGTGTACAGTGTTACGTTTCCTTCTGGTCCCGTTTCTTTGTCTTCGGGCTGCGGGTGTTTATGCGAGACGCGTGATTCGAGTTTCCTTTAACGGGAGCCTCGTTGCATCGTAAACGAAATCTATCGACGAAATCGAAAGTCCCATGATCGATTTCGATCGACCGTTCCACGAAAGTAGCTTCCGTTTCGTAACCGATACGAGTGTATAAAATCCGCAGCCCACTTGTTCTACAGAAGGAAAGCACGCCGAACATGTCTCGCGATCCGTTTATCAACGCTAACTATTTCTAACATTATTTTATGTAACTTTCGATTGCATTTCGATCGTTATAAATATAGTAAAATATGCTTCGATCTCTCGAAAAGTATACTAAAAATAAAGGGAAACGAAAACCGGGAACCGAGAACTTTGAGATCAACATCTCGCTTTTGTGAAATATTCCTAGCGAAACTCTGTTTTCTTTGTCGCGCTGCCAAGACGGGGTAGTTTTCAATTGGAAAAGTTCGCGGATTCGATCAAGAATAAATCGCGGACTCCCGGTTCCTGGCGATTGTAACAGCAAAAATAGATCTGCTCGGCGTGCAAAAACTTCTTCTCCGTGTGTGTCGTCTGCTTGTTTTTGTCGGTATACAGGGTGTCCCGAAATTATGTTACTTCCGTGAAATGAGGGGTTCCTGCGGTCATTTGAAGTAACTTTTTCCTCAGCGAAAATGCAATCCGCGGCTTCGTTTACGAGTTATTAACGAGCGGTCGAAGAGCGAGCTC